CTTAGCCACAGAATAAATGTTTGATGTGGGTGAAAAAGGGTTTGGGGCTGAATAATACTATACGTTGTAAATCGTATAGACTTTTCTCCTCAATCTAACCTCTAACCATGAACCACACCCCTCCCCTTCTTTCTCACATATATACACACAGGGGCGCACATATTTTAAATAGTTGAGACATATTTTATATCACTTTTAAGTGTGTGGTTACCGGGTTCAGTCCTGGGAAGTAAAGGTGACCGGCGCAGTGCTGACCACATCACCCATCCTGTGCGGAATGGTCTATAAAAATAAATATCTAGCCCTGTATGCCCTATAGGCCTAAAGGCATGGAAAAGGGACTTTTACTTTTACTTCTTTAATGGTGAAACCCCATAAATGGACCTTCGCTGTTTTATTCCTTAGGATTGCCTGTTGTTTTGTCTTGGGTAGTTGACCACCTTCTACAGACTTTTCCTTTGCATCATTTTCTGTGCTGTTTTATTTGTTTTCAACAGTTAAAAAGCAGATAATTGCTTTCCGCTCCCGACATTGGTAATTTTCCTTTTATACACCGCTCTTTTGCATTCTTTAAATACGCAGTTAGCGTGAAATGTATGTGCAGTCACTTCTAAATACGTGGAATGGCAAAATATAGTGGTACTTATATCATATATGGACAATGTCAACAAGGAAGTAGTTTTTGCTTGTGTGTGGAGGGATTTTCTGGCCCCCAGAGTATTTGAGAAATAATTTTAAAAAAATGTTTCAAAGCCTGTATAATGATTTTATTTATACATGGGTTGATGGGTTAGCCCTAGTGAAACCATGCAACACCCAGTAACTGCTGGAGTTGGTTTGTAACGTCATTTGAAGGACATGCAAATACCTTAGTTTCTAAGAGAATCCTGCAGGCAGACACCAGCCCAGGATACACTGTAATCATAGGCTTTGAAATGCACGTTGAAGGATAATGGGATTCTGCATGGTCATTCCAGTTCACTGTTATGCTAAAGCTAGACATGGTCTTGCTAGATATGCTCGGTGAGCTGACTATTGATCCTTCCCAGAGCCAGTTGCATATTAAGCATCTTTGTTTTTGTTGTATGCAGAAATATGTATTTGTGTCGCTGAGTGTATTGCAGTCCATTTCTCCAGAGTTTTAACTGATGTTCTTAGAGCTGATTTAGTCCTAAAAGATCTTAACAGCAGCTGTATAACATGGCCAAAAAAAAAAAAAAAACCACAAAATTGCAAATAATTGCTTTTTCAGGGAGCATATTGTAAATTAGAAGTTTTCTGAGTAGCATGGACAAATAAGAAAAGGCATACTGACATACATATCTGACAAATTAAGAAAAGCTAAGCTAGTAAACAGCATCCTGTCTCAGAAACTGAAATATTTTGGCCATATCAAGTGTCACTGGGGAATTGGATAAACAAAATTAGCAGAATGCAGAGTGCTAGGAAAAGGAAGCAGGGGCCGACCAGCACAAATATGGGCACTGGATATAAGTGAGATGTTAGATAGAAAGTGTAGCAGAGCTGGCGAGAAACTTCGCTTTTCTCCCCAGACAGATCGTGATAAGAGTGATGTTCTGCAAAGGACATGCTACATGATGACATAGTTAAAAACTATCTGTAGTCAGATTTCTTTAGCAGATTCTGCCTACACATAAGAAGTACAGTGACACTCTAACATGGTGTGTTGCTTGAGCCGGAAAGAGTTATGTTGGGAGAATAGACTTCATTGCACCAGGTTATCCCATTTGGCATGATTGCTCTTAGCAGAACAGTCAGCCTACTAAGAGCATTACACAAAAAACAAACTCTGTAGCACCAGAGAAGGAATTACATAAAAACTACACCTGTAAACTGATTGGCACACCTGAATGTATCAGCGACCCTCAGAGCATTTGGCAAATTACTTAACTGCTTCACTGCTGAGAACCCCACAGAGGGAGATAGTTGTAGTCCTGAGGACACGTTAGCACAGTCGATAAGAGGCTCGCTTTCAAATCCAGCTGCGACTCGCAGCCCACGGTCGGTGTTCGACCCCGGGCGGTTCCCAGGGTTCACCCAGCCTCTACGAATGGGTACCAGAGTGACACTTTGGGGTAAATAGAGGAAACTCGCTGTAGCTACAGAGTTACTTGTGGACAGCGACACAGGCGGACAATTTCTTATCAGCAGTCCGTACTGGTGGCACAGCACTTATGGTTCATAACAGTGTGCAATTACGCTGGTTCACATCTCCTGACTTTACCTTTTAGTCCTGAGCTAAGCTATTGATTGTAGATTCTTGTGCCACATTCTAGGGGGAAAACCAAGATTAGACCCACTGCTCCACTAACACGCATGTTGTAAGAGTCATAGTGCATCTGCTTGAACTTGAGAGGAGTAGCCAAAAGTGTGCATACAAACAAGCCAGATCTATAAAATGGATGCATATGTACGACTCAAGTCCACAAGTGGACGAACAACCATAACTTTCCGCCTGAGTCTACAGCTGGTAAACACAAAGACGTAGAAGTTGTATATTTGATATTCTAACTTTCCTTGTATTTTGTAAAACAGTTTCTAACTGTTTAGTCAAGTTATTGCAGAAACGATTCCCAGTATCACAGGAAGAGTTTCCCTTTAAACATAAAATTGCAAATGATTCTGTTCTATTTAGACATTCTCCAATAACATTGTGATTGCGGTCAGTAAACACTATAGCTCATATCCGTCTATGTCTACCTACATGACTCTCTGTCTATGCCTGTATGAATGTGAGCATGTGTCATTGAGTACACATTCTTTCTGTTAATGACTTATGTTATATTTATGTTAACAACTGGATAGAGAGCGAGATAAAGACAAATGGTAAATAAGGTTAAATGTTGACTGGACAGTAGCGACCGACAGTAATAGTTTTGTAGATTATCCGCATCTTATATTACATCATGCTGCAACACTTGAAAGGATAAGACAGCCAGTGTAGGAACAGCAAGGACTTGTTTTCATATTAGATGGCTGAAAGCTCAACGTTGAAGTCCCAGTAGTTTAAACTAACCCCAACAAAAATACCTAAACATATAATTCAGAAGGCCAGTGGAATTTCTAGTGCTGGTTAGATTCAGTAGATGCCTGGTGTATTTTTATAACAATATATTGACCTTCTTAGATTAGATTATAATCCTAATGCTTTCACTGCCACACATCTGTATATTAGAAACCTTTTTCTTCTTCGTCACTTCCTCTTTTACAACTTTGGATGTCAAGGGAGATAGATATAAGGTTATGAAGGTTATGGTTCATGTTCTTCTGACCCATTGGCGACCAGGTCGGAACAGCATTTGGGTCTTTCTCCTCTGATCGCATCAACACTGCAAGAGTCCCTTTAAGGGCTACTTCATGGCAAGCAATGTTAAGCAAGTTTGAATGGTGCCAATAACCTAGTTACAATTGTAACCAAAAGCTCCCCCTTCAGGGATTTTGTTTGAACATAATGATCCAAGGTAAGGCAAGGCTCTTCTGGCCGCTTCAACCATAGACACATTCTGCTATTGTAGAGTTTCTCTGATGTTATCTTTCCATATGGTTCTTGGTCTACCTTGTGCTCTGCAACCTTCTCCTATTTTGTAATGTGCCTTGTAGTGGCATCACAGGTCATTCTCTCTAAGCGGGCAGACTATTTGATTTGCCGTCTTTGTAATTTAGAATTGATTCTGTGCCGACTTTTCCTTTATGCCTTCATTCCATTTTTTGTCTCTTCTGGTCGCTCCCACAGCTTTTCTCATACATCTAATTTCCAGTTTGAAACCTTTATATCCAATATCTTGAGTACTTTACAGAAAAATACGATGTCTCAATATACTATGATAAAAGGAGGTGTACAGGTGAGACATAAATGATACAAGTATTGAGGCGGATTAGTTGGAACAGGATACCATGGCCATATTGCATGGAGGTGTAAAGCAGTAAGGAATATAGATAAAGAGGGAGAATGTTTTCAGATAGGTTAAGAGCTGTGTGTCTTATCAGAAGCATATTAAATACCTGCGTTAGCAAAAGTGGTCCTGATTTTGTTAGTCACAGTCATGTTCGCATAGGTTGTGATTCCCATGCTTCCACTTAGCACAGTGCAACACTGTCATCTTGAAAGAGACAGGTGCCATTATTAATTGATGATGTGTTTAGTATCACTTCAGGCATCTTTACATCCTAAATCTTTCCTTGCACCAACACATCAGGGGATTGGAACCATACACACAAGCCTGCTGCTTGACAGGTAGACTGGGAACAGTCAAAAGGTAGGGGAAGCATACACACCACCCTGCTGTTTGACAGGTAGACTGGGAACAGTCAAAAAGTGGGGGAATCATACACACAACCTTGCTGTTTGACAGGTAGACTGGGAACAGTCAAAAGGTAGGTGAACCAAACAAACAATCCTGCTGCAAGATAGGTAGACTGGGAACAGTAAAAAGGCAGGGAAACCATACACACAATCCTGCTGCTTGACAGGTAGACTAGGAACAGTCAAAAGGTAGGGGAAGCATACAAACGACCCTGCTGTTTGACAGGTAGACTGGGAACAGTCAAAAGGTAGGGAAACCATACACACAACCCTGCTGCTTGACAGGTAGACTAGGAACAGTAAAAAGGCAGCGGAACCATACACACAACCCTGCTGCTTGACAGGTAGCCTGGGAACAGTCAAAAGGTAGGGGAACCATACACACAACCCTGTTGCTTGACAGGTAGACTGGGAATAGTCAAAAGGTAGGGGAAGCATTCTTGAACAAAATTATTGTCAAAATCAGATGTACTGAGCCACACACAGAACAGTACAGCTTTACGATGACACTGCTACTTTCTTTAAATGCATTTCATGTTAAGGTCTGAGGGTGTTCCAAGAAGAAGAGTCACAGTCACGAGGAAGCACGTGGAGACTGACAACTTTTCTTAGTAGTTTCTGCATCTGCTGTGTTTTAAAAAATAGGTATATTGGACATAATTTTTCTTTTCTGCAGATTGTCATTGTAAGATGAACCAGACCTGCATGGAAAATGGCACATGTTGTCATGAATACTGCCTGGGAGGGTGCAGTGGTCCTGGACCAGAGGACTGCTTCAGCTGCAAAGAAGTTACTTACCTGGGTAGATGCCTTGAAGAGTGTCCACCTGAGACTTACAAGGTATACCTGTTCACAGACATTGCAATAAGAAAATAAGAAAACCAATATACATTTCTTCTTAAGCATTCCAAGCACTTGAGATTTATTGCTTCTATCTTTGACAAGTCATGGACAAGTCCATAAGTGCCCGGATCCCATCTTCACTATATTCCTCAACATATCATTACGGTCTGGGAAGAATGACGTTGCGAGGAGTTACAAGGGGCGCTTAACACTCGGGGGGGGGGGGGGGAGGCGAGATAGATATACATTCAGACAGTTACTGGTGCCATCGGAACTGGAACTCTTCGCTTGCTGCTGAAGATGGGGGACGGAGGGCTTATGGGGATGTCCCAAATGCTGTGATGTCGATTCTTTATTCAACATCACTCAACGTATGGCGACTGATAACACCAGTTCTGTGTTGGTTTACTATTTTTCTTTGGCTACCTGTATAGTGTTCACTGCTGTGCTAAGAATGAACCTGTTATATTAGGGCCAGTATTAGAACAGTATAAGGAAAAATGAAAGGTGGAGACAGTGTTGCATTCATTGCTGGCAGCTCAGCCTAAAATATTTTGTAATAAGGGATTACAAAAGCTTGTTAACAGATGAATGAAGCATGATGAAAAACAGGGAAGTCATGATGAAAACTTATTTATTTTTCTTGCCTCAAGTTAATTGCATATCCCTTTTTAGCAGTGGTCTTCAACCTGAAGGCGCACCTTCTTAGGGAGTGTGAGGAAGTTTCAAGAGAGGAGTCGTTCAGATTTAAAATTGAGTGCATTTGTGCTTGTAATAATCCGGATTTTCAGCTTTAACAGTCATGAAAACAAAACAGCGTCAAATGCCAGCATAATGTGGAGAGTGATCTCCGGTTTGCCATGTCCAACATCAGATCGAAGAGTTGGGCACTAAATTACAAGTTGTTGGTGATTTTTTGTTGTTGTTGTTGTTTTATTATTTGACACTGTTTTATGCTGATGTTTTCCTCCAAGTTATTGTTAACAGGGTTGGTTTAAGAGTCTCCCCCCTCCTCCTTTTAATCACATTTTGTAATTTTGGTTGGGGGGTGTCTTGCCATATACTCGGAGGTGCCACCTGAAAATGCTGGTTGGGGATCTCTTGCCATATACTAAAAGGTGCGTGCAACCTAACAATGTTGGAGACCACTGCTTTAGAGGAAGTTGTAAACTAACCTAGGCATTCATTGGCTACTGAACAATATTATGTACAGTAGTTTGCCATTGCAAACCATCACAAAAAGGTTTGCTGTCAGATCGCTTGAAGTTGAACCAAACCAGATATTTTAAGAGTTGTGAACCACATTCTAAACCCATAAACCAGAGACTATTATCTAAAAGTTTCCGTTTTTGGGTGCCGGGACCCCATTGTAGGAGGCAAAGAATAGACCCACTGTCCCATAATAATAATTTGTAAAAGTTGACTAATATTATGGGGTGTTTTGTTTGAAGTTGGCGTACATATGCCTGAGAGGCGTGGAACCAACAGTCTAATATAAAATAAGCCATATTTGTGAAACTGATGTGCATCCAGAACTCAAATTCTCAAACACGGTTGAAGTCCAGAAGTGGATGATCAACCAGACCTTTTTTGTCTGAGTTAACAGCTGGTGAAGAAGAAGAAGAAGTAAATTTAAAAGTTGATTAAAATAAATTTTAAAGCCAGAATGTTTAATTTGTGTATATTTATAATTACAGTATGCTGACAGACGATGCCTCACTGCAAAAGAGTGCTTTGCCATGGTCAACAATACGGAAGACCCAACAAAGAATAGCAAAATTGTGCGCAGCGAAAAGGCAGAGTTGAGAATTTGTGACACCCAGTGCCCACAACACTACACTGTTCAAGAGGAGGGAGAACTGAAGAATTTAGAGTGTGTCAAATGTAAAGGATTCTGCCCAAAAGGTTTGTCTTTGTCTTATTACTACTCCATAAAATACACTTGCAGTGTGAGTATTTAGAAGGGTCAAATGTATGTCAAAACCTGCAGGCCTAATTTGTGACCTTTTAAAATTAAGTTTATCATACATTGATTTTCTTCTTTACTTTACCTTTTTACCTTATTACTTGTATATTTTTTTAAACTTTTGCCCAGCCTGCCCCTAGGATTTTAGGTCACTACACAGCCATATGGTCTCACAATATAATATTTTATATGTTTGAACAGGGTATCTTAGGTATTGTCCCTGTTTCACTGACATCCTAACAGTTGCCTTTTGGATACTGAGTGTGAGACTTTCAATTATAGTCTTGAAAGAGAAATAAAAAAGAAACAACTTCCATCCATCCTTTCTCTCCCTTTAAAAAAAACATTGTTCCTAATCAGTTTGCAATGACTGGAAAATTCTACGGGAAAAGAGACAAAGGAAGATAAGACAGTTCTTGACAGCCTTTTTGTCATGGAATGAAGTATCAACACACAAAGTCATACATGCTGTTGAAGATCATAGATTGGGGGAGAGGCATGATCACCCACGCCAGTCGGCAAGGCACTTGTTAATGATCATGAGTGACAGTTATGTCCTGCTGTCAGTAAAAACTTTAAAATCCTGTTCATTTTAAATGGAACCATTTTTATGCCATTGACACATTCGATATGTGCTGGGCCCATATTTTTATAGACCAGTATTGTCTGTCTCGCTAGTGCAGTTGGCTAAATCTGACTGTGCGGCGATCGGGTGACGAACTCCTTGTGGTCCGGGTTCACGCCCGTGGGTAGGCTGAAAAGCCAGATTTCTCCTAGATTTACGGTATCTATCATGGAATCAAGGCCGAAGGTTAGCGATACCCATAGTACTGAGCCAAAGGGTTAACTACTTGTGGTTTCTGAATGCTAAAAAAAACCAAAACAATAGGAACTCAGTGGGTAATATGATCAGCTTCATGCTGACATCTGTACATCCCAGGACATTGGAAGCTCGCGCCAATTTAAAAAAAAAAAAAAACCTGCCGCTGTGTGTATCGGAACTCAAGATTTTTGGGCTGGAAGAAAAGCGTCTAGCTATTATGGCCTCCATTTTGGTCACTTAAAAAGTATTATTCTTAACTTGTATTCTTATATTAGTATATTTAATACTAGTTACCCATGTATCCATATGGTTAGATTGTCTGAAGTGAGCAGATAGCATTTTTCTGTAAAACCACATCTCCAAGGCTTGAAGAAATTGTTCAGCTTGTATGTTAATTGTCCAGGATTCACAGCATTTTTCTGTAAAACCACATCTCCAAGGCTTGAAGAAATTGTTCAGCTTGTATGTTAATTGTCCAGGATTCACAGCTGTATGTTGAGACTCGCTGCATATAGCATGCGAGAATTATTATCCTAACATCCAGTGACATGGATTTATTGCATAAAATATTCTTCATTTTGTAAACTGCAGTTTTGGCCTGCCTTATTATATTCTTTATCTCTGTGATACATCTTTTGTCGAATGTTATCCATGGGTCTTGATACTTGGCATTTCTATAAAATTCCTAAAATAACGCCTTTGGCTGTAATTAGACATTTAGGTGCTATTGTTTTCTTGGAAATCACCATCACTTCTACCTTTCCATTATTAAAATTGAAATTGGGACAGTATCCTTGTTAAATTCATTGAGAAAGCAAAACTGAATCTTTCAGTCATCTAATGAGAATAAATTAAATGATGCTGACAGTGGGTGTGTCATCATCATCATGTGCCTTGCTGACTGGCGTGGGCCATCTTGCCTCTCCATAATCTGCGATCTCCTGCAGCATGTATCAGTTCGTGTGCCGACACACCTCCATACCATGCAACAAGACTGTCAAGCATCTTCTCTCGTTGTCTTCCTCTATCCCTCCTTCCACATATCTTTCCAGTGGTCACAACATGTTCTATTTCCCCTCTTCTCATAACATGGCCGAAAAATGATGACTGTCTCCTTCTGATGTCTGTGATAAGTTGTCTTCGGGCTCCCGCCTCTTTCAAAACCTCTTGGTTGCTCTTTTTGACTGTCCAAGGTATTATAAGCATTCTTCTGGAAAACCACATCTCCGAGGCCTCCAGAAATTGTTTGGCCTGCCTACCGATTGTCCAGGATTCACAGCCATATGTTAAAACTGGACGTATGTAGCAAGCAAGAATTCTTTTTCTAACTCTAAATGACAAGGATATATTGCACAAGATGTTTTTCATTTTATAAAATGCAGTTTTTGCCTGTCCAATTCTATTTCTTATCTCAGTTATGCATCTTCCATCTAATGTTATCCATGTGCCCAGATACTTAAATTTCTTTACTTGTCCTAAAATAACACCAACTTTTATTACACACTTAGGAATAATTTGTTTCTTTGATACCACCATTACTTCTGTCTTCCCATTATTCAAACTGAATGTGTACAACATGAACATGAAAATATCGAGAGGCAGAGGTAGACTTAGAAGGACGTGGATTAAAGAAGTTGCTGACAGCCTAGGACTTGACAGCATTGTAGCATAGCAAGCATCCAAGTGTGCCCTAGCTTGGCTACAGATCATCTGATAAACTGCAACATTAAGTGTAAATTGATCCTTATCCTCTCATTAAAGTGTAAATTTATCCTTATCTTCAACACTAGGGGACCTCAGCTGGCAGCCCGCGGACTAAATCGGGCCCACACCTAGCATTTGCATTGTATTATCTTTGTCCGCTGGGGCTCTCGCTTTTTGTCTGTGACTATCCCCATTTTCAACATTTTGGTCCCTAAGTGAACTTAGTTAAATAGCCCTGTCCTGCACATGTCTTAAAGAAAAAAAAAACATGTTAAACATTTTTTTGGTTTTGATTTTCTATTCCTTTATGACAGTTTGCAATGGTTCTGAAGTGAACAGCATTGAAGATGCACAGAAACTGAGTGGCTGCAGCAAAATTACTGGAAATCTGTATATACAAATTATGGGAGGCAGTAAGTAAAGACTTGTATTCACACACAGTTAGAATGTGAATGTTCGTCAAGCACATTGTTTAAAAAAAAATATTGCATGAGTAGTGCATAATTTTATTAGTTTGGTACATACATTTCTCTCTCTCTCTCATGAGGACGACTGTAACAGTGCTAAAGCCCTTTAAAAAAAAATAATTGGATCACTGTCTTTTGACCATTCTTTTTTTTTCTGTCAGCATAGCCCGAACATTGCTTCTGTTCCAGATTCCAGATTGTTTCAGTTCCATATTGCTTACTCTTGTGTGATTTTTATTTTATTTTTTACTTTCTTGTTACATTTAGAATTCTTTGCTGACATGTTGTTAGTGGAAACATTCAGTTTCACCTGTTTGCCCTACCCTTTGCTAAGTTTCCAGATTCCATTCTGTGTTCATTCCTTCTTTAGCTGCTGAACACATGATTACATAAACATAAAAGATTTACAGAAACTGACATCTGAACACATGATTAAAGAAACAAAAAACATTGATATAGACAGACAACTAAACACATGTTTACATAAACATTATGTGAGATTTACATAAAACAAAACGCATAGTTATAGAAAAATATTACATTTATAGAGACATTTCACCTGATGCGATAAACAAATAAGATTTAAATAAGAGAGACAACTGAAGACATGATTAGATAAAACAGTATATAATGTCTACATAACCAGGTGACTAACACATGAGTAGGTAAACATCATTAAACATTTAGTAAAACAGATAACTGAACAGTTTATGTTTTCCTTTACAGGTAATGTTGCTAATGAGATGGAAGAGAATCTTGGCAATATAAAAGAGGTGACTGGATCTGTCATCGTCAGGAGGTCATATGCTCTGCTGACCCTTTACTTTTTACGAAGCTTGGAGATTATTGGAGGAGAAAATCTCAACACTGAGAAGTAGGTTCTTTTGACTGAGGGATGGTGTTAGTTAGGCATTTTACTCGCTTGTGAAATTTTAAACAGTGTGGGTAACGGAGAAATTCTAACATACACTGGCCACTTGCATTGAATGATCTTGAAATGTGAATACTTGATAAAAGTTAGCTAGTATCGTTTACATACAGGGCTTGGACACAATCATTCTGACCATCAGAAAAGTACAGTGAAGAAGAAAATAGGTTGCTGAATTTGGAAAAGAAAAGCAAGAAGAAAAAAAAAAACCGAAATAATGTCCACAATTTATACAGCACACCAGCCATGTATTAACTCTTTGGAGATGGAGCCTTTTTTTGAGTTTCGGTGCCAAGAATACAGAGCCTTCAGGAGGGGATTCTCACAGTTTATACACACATTTTTTTTTTTTAAATTAAGCGTTTAATTAACATATACAAAACTGTGTATATATATATATATATATATATATATATATATATATATATATATATATATATATATATATATATATATATATATATATATATATATATATATATATATATATATGTATATTCATGTAGGAAATTGAATGAACTTACAGAATATTTATGAAGCAAACTAAAATCTCAACATTTGTTCAAAATATCTATTCTGATTTTCATGATTTATGCAAGCAATTAAAAAAAAAAAAAAAACTTGGGAACAGACATAACTAACCTAACAAATTTTGGTGAATTTTTTTTTTAATGGATGAAGCTTGAATAAGTCCTAACACCTGTATTTTGGGAAGTAAGACCCTTAGAGGCCCTTCAGACACATCTGGCACATGGTTCTACTCATTTTCCTGCCTCCGGCTATGACGCAACATTCCTTTTTGCCATGTTGGTAACCCCAGAAAAAAATTGATGTAAAATTACAGAACACATATCAAACTTTCTCAAAAGCCGTCAGTGAACAGCCCACATGTACAAGAAATGCGAGTTAGCTGTCTGATAGGCTAGTACGAAAACCTGCCAGCCAATGTCAAGGCTTTTATTATATAGGGCCGACCAATCGGCCCAGTCGTCCTTTTGGTTACTTTGTGTTGGGCCGATATTTTAGGTGGGCCTCCAAGGTTTTAAAATTGATAACAAAGAGATTGAAAATGTCACAGATTTGGAATATTTAGGCTCAGTGGGGAACACAAAAGAAGTCATAAAAAATCTTGTTTTAACATTGCAGAGGCAACACAGCATGAAGAACCAACCTAAAGCATAGCACCTGCAAATGAGTTGAAGTAAACATTTTGAGGTCATAAATCTTTTCTATGGCAACTTATGGATGCGAGTCATGCCCTCTTACCCAGTCCTTGAAGGAAAACATCAGAGCTTTTGAACTGAAATGCTACAGAAAAATTCTTATAATACCCCGTACAAGAAGAAGAAAAAAAACATTATCTGAACATCAAGACGAATTGGCTCGTAAACAGCATCCTGTACTGAAAGCTGAGGCCATGTTAAACATCATGGTAACCTGAAAAGAATTATGATCGAGGGTGCATTTTCCGGAAAATGAGACAGAGGCCAGCTTCCATGAAGGTGTATACTAAACATTGAAGATGCATTGACCATGAAAGTACATAGGGCTGGAGGATTAACGAGAGGAAGAGAGACTTTCAACCGTGAAGAGAGCTGCATTCTGTAAAGAACATGCTGATTGATTGAGTATCCTTACAGGATATTACAAATCCACTCCAGCATTTATTGTCACTTTTACTGTAGTTTTGGTTTGTTTAACTGTTCAGTTTTACATTAGAAGTTTGCCATTTTTGTCTGAACGAACAGCTTTCTATACCATTGTTGAAATGAATGAAAACCTGACTTCTGCCAAATCACACGTAGCGAAGTGAACTTAGAATTCTAAACTGTGTTTGCAATCCCCAAGGAATACTTCACAAACATGGTTCAAAACATATACCAATAAAGTTGTGGTGTTTTTTAAAGTAAGATTTGTAATTGATTAGATGAGTTCTGGAAACACTAACTCTTAAACTTTATATATGACGACTGATGAGTTTCAGTAATCCAGTGCGAGTTCCTAAAGAGTTTAGAATATACAATTTTTTTTTAAAATGAACATGCTGGAAGCAGATTCCTATATATACATAATACAGTGAAGATTGGACGGAGTGAATCTCCAGCATGCTCTGTTTCTAATTTTACTTGAACACTTTCTGAGACTGCTTTTCATCCATCTCTTTATTAATAATCTTGCCACTTGTGTTTCTGTCTGTCTGTCTTGTGTTACTTTGCCATCACCTACTTGTTCCTCTGTGTCTTCTGGGGTCCCAACTTTGGTACAGAAAAACAAGTAGACCAACTAAAGAGACCCATCCCCCCCCCCCCCCCCCCCCCCCTTTATTTTTAAAACCCCCTAACAAAAATGTTGGAAAGGGGACTAAATAGAGGTTTTCTGAAATCAGATGTGTTGGGTTAAAAGGCGCAGATATCATAACCTTGCTGTAAACTACAAAACATGTTAACCGCTATATTATGGGTGAACACAGAAGAAGACTAAAGTGTTGTCTATTTTTTTGTCACTGAAATATTTGTATCATCTATATGTATTTCATCTTTATTTAACAGGAGTAGCTTCACTGTAATGGACAACAGCAACTTACAAGATCTGTTCCCCGAGGAACAAATGAAAAAGATCAAGATTAAGAACGGCACAGTATCTTTCCATTCCAACCGCAAGCTTTGTGAGCACAAAATCAGACGTTTTGTACGATATTTGAACATGACAGAGTCGGATCAAGACATTGGGGGAACAAATGGCAATCTCATTCCATGTAATGTACCCTTTCATTTTAAATGCTTTTGAATGTTGAACTGGTTGGGGCATATGGTGAGAATTTCAGCTGACAGACAATATAAAGACTGTACACAAAAGAGTTGATTTAGAGTAGATCAGGGTCAGACCAAGAAGACAGTGGAGAGAGAATCTACAGGTAAACTACAAACACTTGAAGTCATCAACTGGAAAAAGTAGACAAATCATAAAGATGAATGGGGCGGGTGATACCTGCATCAGTGAACCTCAGAACTCAGAATACTGAAGAAGAAGAAGTGCTTTTGAATGTGTTTTCTGCATGTGCCTAGGTAAAATTGTCATTTGTGTGGATGGATATTTTTAGTGCAATATTTGTTGCATCAGTAACCTTTTAGTAAAATTTTTAGACATTTACTATATTTTAAAACCTTGTAAAAATTGGTTTTGGTTTACTCAACTGATCAACATCATGGCACAAGGGTAGTAACACATAAGTACTCCGTTTTACTTCTGACTAAAGCCTGAGTCCGAATAATCTCAGCACAGTCAACAAACTCTGTAGCACCGGCAAGGATCCTGAAATACTTCGGGTAAATTTGCAACTCCAAATTTTTGCCTGAGCAGCTCCGTTAGGCTACTGTTTTCGATTTCCAACTGGCAGGGGATTTTTTTTTAACAATACACACAGGCGTTCATTCTTACTAAACTGAGACAAAGGGAAATTACCAAAAGTCCACATGAAAAAATCGCAGCCTTCAGCGGGTTCTGAACCTGGGACCACCAACACTCGAGGCAGACGCCATGCCCTTAGACTATTCAGTCATTTTAAAATACATTCAGTATTTTTGTTTAATATAAAAATAACATCCATTCTGCTGTTGTTTCTACTTCTGCTACTACTGCCAGCACTACTGCTATTGCTACTATATACTATCACTACTGCTAGATTTACTTATATCTTATTAGAAGTTCAACAGGGTATCTGAGATTTGTACTGATGGATTGAGGTCCAGGATAAAGTTCTTTGGGTCGCTGGGTTGTTGAACTTCCAGATAGCAGCACAGGAGGGAAAAATCTGTTTGTTTAAATATTCCCAAGTTAACCTAGACTACACTGGGTACCAGGCAATGTCAGGGAAAATGAAGGTGGCCAGTGTGATATTGACACATCACCCATCAAGGACCGATTGATCTGTAAAAATACAAATCTAGCATCAGATACACCACTGACATAAAAATGATCCTTTACTGCCAGCTGTTTAGGAAAAAAAAAAAAAACTGCTCATTACTGCCTTTTTTTAAAACCACTTTTACAGTTCATGCAGGTGGGTCTTTGAGTCTGAAGATTTAGGACCACATGGATTGCTTATTTTGTTTGAATGTTAGATGCGTTTGGTTGATGACTCTTTGTGCACTGTTATTTTGGTGTGTTTTGTAAGGGTTCACCATTTCTTGCAGGTATTGAGCGTGAACTGAGCTTGAACGTGACACACATTTTCCACAATGCAGCTGTGCTGAAATGGGAGAAAGACACCGCAGACGGCAGACATGTGTTGGCTTACATTATAAATTATAAAGAGATGTGAGTTCTTTGTACCTGTCTTAATCTTTTTCTTTCACTGTGTGTGCCCTTGGAAAGGTGTTGGAGCTGCAATATCTGATACATCATCACATTTATGTTTCAGTAAACTCGTAATTAGTTTGCTTTTATGACATGCTTGTCGGCGTCTGTGGCTTAGGTGTTGTGACGCACTTTGTAATGCTGGGGTGCCGGGCTTTGATCCCAGCTGCAGGCCCTGCATTGGTTTTGACAGTGGTATCGAAAAGCCGACTGTCCAGAAAGCAGTGGCAAACTACTGGATGTCAGTTTGCCTAGAAAAACCGCAAGAGCCAAAAAAATGCTGGGGTTTGTTCTGCAACTTTTATAAAAGGATACAAGCTAACTTTGTTTGTTAGGGGACAATGGGTGTATTCCACATTCCCTAGTCTGGCCCAGGAACCCACACGGAGACTGTCCTAATTATAGTTAATTTAAACAGCTATCATATTGTCAACCTCCATAAATGGTCAAGATAGGAGACATAGCCGTCTTTTCATGGGAACAATCAGTAGCAGTAGAGGCACCTTGGAGTGGCTGACGCTTCAGAGATCTGAGCATGTGTGGAAATACCTAATGTGCGGTGACGGCGATTGTGATAACATAATTAATCCCGATGGTATTATCACTTGACAGAAGCTGGACAAAAACATAGACCTGATCTGAGATGTGATCATGTGAGATAATCAACCATGGCGGTCTAATCTTATTGTCGAGCACATAAAAATGATAACATGGCCAGTGTAACTAAACTAAGGCTTTTGTGTAATTATAGTCATTTCTGAGGAATGGCTGGCCGAGCGATTACAACGTCAGGCTCTCATGTGAGAGACTCAAGTTCGACCTCCCAGTAGGGTAATGGAGTTATTCTGTTGGGGGCAAGCAAAATTAAACTTCCTAACCTGCACAGTCGGTGACGACAGCACTAGCCAAGCGGCCCTAACTGTTGTAAACAGTGGTAAAACAGACAGTAGTGACAGTTTTTTAAATATTCATTTTATAGTTTCTAAATCCCTATTGATTAAATTTGTTGCTAAATTTTTAAGCTTCACTTTTACTTGTCCATAAATAAATAGTGTTTTTGTAAAGAAAATAAATTATATATATTTATATAAGTAAGTAAGTAAGTAAAGTAAAGTAAAGGACCCTTTTCCATGCCTTCAGGCATATAGGGCTAGACCTATATTTTTTTTATAGACCATTGGCACAAGATGGCTGATATGGTCAGCACCACGCCGGCCGCCTCTACTTCCCAGGACTGCACCTGGTATCCACTCAAGGCAGGGACAACCTGGGAGCCAAGGTCATTTTTTTTAAAAAGTCAGGCTCCGCCAGGGAGTGAACCCATGACCTTCCGATCCGAAGCGCATGTAGCCGCTCCACCACGGGGACTATATATATATATGCATTTTTTTTTCCACCACAGAAAATCCAAAGATGATGAAATCAACATATATGAGGGGCGAGATGCATGCTCGGCAGATGTGTATGTATCTTAAGTTACTAGTCAGTTTTCATACTTTTCTATATGTTTCCAGTCTGTTTTTCCTTATTAGTTTATTGTGTTTGATAACTCAATGTGTGGAACTGTCCTGCAAATAAATTATTTCCAATAACAAATGTATGCATACTTCAGCAAAAGAAGTCTGTATACATTATAACAGTTGTAATAATAATTTGTTTCTCTTGTCTTTACCCTTAAATGGAAAGTTGGCACTCTACATTTAGGCTGTGATATATGTCGTAATAATTTTTTTTTCTTGTCTTTACCCTTAAATGGAAAGTTGGCACCTTGTATTCCAGTCTACATTTAGGCTGTGATATCTGTCTTTCTGTCCAGCACAACTGGGTTCAGCAAATCCTTAACTAGTTATCTCTTATGACAGCTTTCAAAAATGAGTCTCTTGAACCTGCATGGGATGTGTTTGCATTTGATTATTATACTTAAAGTTAGAGTAAAGAAGATCGCCTTCATTGCACCAGCTTTTATCCCCTGTGGCTCAGTCTCTCCAGAGAATGGCTAGCCGCTTGCCGAGAGTGACAAAGCATAAGCTTTGCAGCTCCTGGTAAAAATGTCACTTGTGAACTGGAATGGCACAGCCATGAAATAAACCCACGGCCGTCAGAGTGTGAGGCAAATGGCTTGATCACTTCACCATGGAGTTTGAAAACATTGATCAGAAAAACATACACATACAGCAGGAGATTCTAGATCCCGGGAATACAGAGCTGTGCGGTGAACTCATTTATGCCATCTCATTCCTTAAGCATTCAGATATGTGTCCTAGAGGTTTAGAATATAAAACTTTGATAAGACCAGTCATTTTATATGGCTCTGAAACTTGGAGCACAACTAAAAGAGATGAAGCCTCGTTATAAATTTTCAAAAACAGAGTATTGCGACAAATCTTTGGACCCATCAAAGATGCAAACAGCTGGTACTGGAGAGTGAGAAGCAACAACGAAATTCATAATCTATTAAAGCATCATAAGATCTAATAAACTGAAATGGCTTGGTTATATTGAGAGAATGTCAGATGACAGAGAGGTAAAAGCTGTCTACACAAGGGAGCTCAGTGGTAGTAGACCACGAGGCAGACCAAGAAGGCGATGGAGAGATACCACCCAGACAGACCTGCAAATACTTGATGTCACCTACTGCAAAGAGAAGGCCACCCAGAAAGATGAGTGGAGGCGGGTGATATCTGCAACAATGAACCTCAAGGGCTCAGAAAGATGAGTGGAGGCGGGTGATATCTGCAACAATGAACCTCGAGGGCTCGGAACGCTGAAGAGTAAAATTGGTTCTGAAACTAATATCTGAGGCGGTGCTGCCTAAACAAAGTGCTATAAAAACGGCGCTTAATATGTAACAATTCTCCTTTCATTTGTGTCTGCCTGAATCATTATTTTTTCTTTCATTCACATCAGTCTTCATCATCATCATCATATTCTCCTTTATTTATATCTGTCTGCAGCAAAATAATACTCTGATACATTTATATCTCTGTCACATTTGTCTCGAGACATTCTCTTAATTTATATTTGTCATTCATTATATTTTCTATCATTTATATCTCTCATCATTATAATATTCACCTTTATTTATATCTCTCAACATTACAATATTCCTCTTTATTTATATTTGTCTGCAACACTTTAATTTTCTCCTTCATGTATATGTGTCACCATTATGATATTCTTTTTTCATTTGTACATGTCCTATTTTCCTTTTTTTATATCTCTCTGAATCAGTATAATTTTCTCCTTTATTTGAGTTGAATTTGTTACTGTCTGCCTCAACCAAATATTTGTCTTCATTCAGATCTGTCTGTTACATCTACCTGCATTTTTATAATACTCTTTGATATTTATCTGTCGTCATTATAATAAAGCCCTTTTCTTTATGTCTGCCTACTCTGCTGTTTTTGTTTATTTGTTTATATCTGCATCATTTGTCACATCACATCTAATTTTTAACCTTGGTTGATGAAGTACAGTTCTAAAAATAATGTAAATTTTGGTCTGCACATTGTTCCCTATTAAAGTGAAGAAAGTAAATTTAAACACAGAGCAAATATTTGTAGTTGAATTCTCTTACTGTTTTATTAGTTTAGCAGTGAAGTAACTTTCAGTTTTCTTGAATTAAAAAAAAAAACACACCAGGTGGATGACCAATGAAGTATTGCACATCAACGAAACGGCGGCAAGTGAGTCGTACGTTCTGAACGATCTCAAAGCGTATACTGACTATGCTGTGTATGTTCAGGCTTACACACTTTCAACAGCAACTTATTCTGCAATGACAACTATAAAGACCTTCAAGACAAATCCATACTGTAAGTTATTATCCTATGATTGTACTTTCTCATTTTGAAAGTGAAACTGATACAGAGGTGTGTAGAGAAATTATTTAGTTACAAATGGACATTTAAAAAAAAAAATATATTGTCACTTTTCCAGACGTAGTATTCTTTTGGGCTGCTGACCAGCGGAGGCAGGCTAGAAAGACCCTATAAGAAGCCCTTTACCTACCAACACTGTTTCCTGCCCTCATTGTCCTAGATATAGTTTCATGGCGAATGAAAGAAAGAATGGTTTGCGCCATAGGGAGGTGTGGGAATCACATCTGAAGTCCAGAGGATCGACTTCATTGCACCTTGTTTTATCTTATATGGCTTGGTTTCCCTCCGCATGGTCTGCTTTATTTACTGCATGCTGCAGAAGCTCCCGGATCAGAAGAACAGTGCTCAGTCTGTCTGACTTTTAGATCTTCCCTCCTAGACCAGCTGCCAACCAAGGCTAAGGGGCTCATTTTTGTTACTTCATATAGGAAGTGACACTAATACAAAGTGGTGGAGATGTTAAGTCAATTACTAAAGGATGTTTCAGAAAACAATAATCAAACTAATATTTAAATGCTACTTACTGCTGTCCTTTATCTTTCAATATAAGGTCTTTATGATGAAGTAGTTTGGGCCATTTAATTTGTGCTCTGAATGTTGTAGGTTCATTTAGGGCTCTGCTAATTTGCTAATAAAATTGTTTGGGTGATTCCTTCTGTGGTCGTTGCAGGAGCCGGGGAATACATGCTCTGTGCGACATTTTTTGCGCTGCAACTATTCATTGTGTGGAGAATAACTGTGCCACGTAGGTTATATAAAATACTTGTGATATAAGTAAGGGACGGGCTGCAGACTCAAACCAGGACCATCAGAGCATAGTGTTAAATGGCTACTTGACTTCACAGCGGAGATCTCAATCAGAGTCAGTGTTTGTGAGATAACACAAGAAGAAGAAGAATATTCTAGCAGCATTTTATCAAAATACTGGCAGTTTTTGGTAAAATAATGCTACTGTTTTCTTGCTTATAATTTTTTTAAATGATTTTTCTGTTTTTAATAGGTTACTCATCTCTTTTCAGATGTTGTCTTTTGTGTGTGCGTTGTAAATTGTTATTTATTACATATTCTGCACACTTCGGTCTTTGGAAGGTGCCTGTTTTTTGTTTAGGAGTTGGTGACTGTTCAGTAACTAGGGCATTCTGCTAGTAGTTGCTAGATTTTTTCTTACTAATATTGGAAGTATGGTTGAGAATATATTATGGGTTATGATAACCAAATTATGGGTTTAATGGTAAAAATTTATCACCAACTGGCCATTCTTGTATGTTATGGATCACAACTGGGAATTGAAATATTTTCTGCCAAATCTAATATCATCATTAGATTAATTAATTATACTCAAATATTGACTCCTTTTTATATTTTTACATTTAATACTGAGAAAAACTGGCATCTTGATGGCTAATAAACACATAGTATACCAGAAATAGCCGTTGGTGGGTGTATTCTTAACAACCTGTGATATGCTGACGATATAGTTTTGATTGCTGAAAATGAAACACAACTGCAAGAAATGATGAATATAATTGTAACAGGAAGTGAAAACAAGGGTCTTAGTTTGAACAGCAGAAAAACAGAAGTAATGGTAATTACAAAATTGGTGCTCCAAAATGCAACATTAAAGTAAATGGGACAAACCTTAAACAAGTTGATATGTTTAAGTATTTGGGTACCCTGATAACATCAGATGGAAGGTGTATTAAGGAAGTTTAATATCAGATAGCTCAAGCAAAGGCAGTGTTTTATAAAATGAAGACTATTTTATGCAATCTTTCTTTGTCAATTAGGACAAGAAAAAAATTCTTTAAAGTTTTATAAATCCTACATTGATGTACGGATGTGAATCATGGACAGTTAGTAAATTAGTGAAAACTTATATGGAAGCTGCGATGTGGTTTTATAGATGAATGATGAGAATACCCTGGACAGATACAAAGAGTAATGAAGATGTCTTGAAAGAAACTGACTCATGAAGTACTGCCCACATCAGAAAGAGACAATCTACATTCTTTTGGTCAGGTGATGAGAAGGAGAAAACTGGAGTACAAAGTGAGGGGAGGAGAGGCAAAGGGAGACAGAGAGAACAGATGCTGGACAGTGACTCATGGCATGGAAGACCATCTTTGACAAAACTGACTGAAAGTAATGAGACAGAAGGTTGTGGATAGACATGACTACCAACGCTACACGGCATGAACTTTAAGTAGAAGGTTTAGTATATAAAGAGAGTTTCCAATAACAGAGAGACAGAAATTACTCAGAAGAATTGAATGGGAATAGACCACAAGGCAGAGCAAAAGTACGGTGAAGAAATACAAGCAGACCTACAAACACTTGGTGTCACCATCTAAAAATTGAGGGTTAAACAATGGATCAACATCATGGCACACAAGTATTAACCCATAAGTGTTCCGTTCTTCTTATAACTGAAATCTGAGTCCAAAGAAACTCAGCACAGTGCACAGGCTCTGTAGCATTGCCAAGGATCCTGAAATACTCTGGGTACAATTTTTTTAAACTTCTATTGTTTAATTAGGCTACTCTTTTTGATTTCCAACTGCCAAGATATTTTTTACGTGCCCAGCAGTGCACATGGGCCTCCAATCTCACTACCCAGAGACCAGGAGGAATCACTAGAAATCCAAGTCCATGTGAAAAAATCCCAGCCCTTACCGGGGATTGAACGCGGAACCTTTAACACTCGAGGTAAACACCATACCTCGAGACCGCGCAGCCCCCATCTGAAAATAGAAGGCCACTCAGATTAATGAAGGTGGGTATATCTCCAGGGCTTGGAATGCTGAGGCCACTCAGAGAGATTAATGAAGGTGGGTATATCTCCAGGGCTTGGAATGCTGAAGAAGAAGAAGAAGAAGAATAGTGAGCGGAAAAAAACACACTCTCATAGGTTATTTTCTGTTTATACTAATAATGTTGTTGCTTTCCCACTGCAGACCCATCTGAACCATTGGATCTGGAGGTCAACTCTGATGATCCCCATGAGCTGTATGTCAAGTGGAAGCCACCCAAATACCCAAATGGAATTGTTACTCATTACAAAGTCTTGTACCAGAAACAGGAGCTGGATATTAAGTCTTTTGAACAAAGAAACTATTGTATTCAACGTGAGTTGCGGATATCTTTTATACTGTAGTTTGACATTACCTTTCATGCTATAATTTGACGGTTACCATTCATAAGCATTTTGAAGTTGCCTTTCATTCTATAGTTTGACAGTTGCCTTTCATTCTATAGTTTGACAGTTACCCTTCAAGCTATAGTTTGGCAGTTACCTTTCATTCTGTGATTTGACATTTGTCTTTTATAATATAGTTTGACATTTTCCTTTCGTGCAATAATATTACTTGTTTTTCATATAGTTTGACATTTACCTTTCAGATGGTAGCAAATCTGGGTAGTTGTCTTCTTCATGTGCCTGGTTTCAAGCTGTCATTTGATATATTGTAATTAAATTGGTATTGCTTATATAATTATTTGTTGCACAGTTGACGTTTTCTACTTACAGCTTTCTCGCTCTTCCTCTGCCTCTCCTGCTAATTTCTCTACTTCACTTCTTCTGTTGATGTGCCCTGTGAATTTCATCAGTCTTTGTCCTTTAGTTATGATGAAGGATCTAGTTAAGAGTCAGTTATGTCCCACCTCTGAGTCCCATTTAGCAGTTCCTTGTCATAGACTTTTGTGCAAGTCTCGTCCTTATGTGATTCAGGCACAGTCTGAAATTTCATAATGCCACCTTCCACATATATGAAGCATTCTTTTGGACAAGCCACAGTGTTATTCACCATTTCAGTACTCATAGTTCAGCATGAACTTCTGTCAGAAGAATGCCTACATACAGCTTTTCATAAGCTTTTAAAAAAAAAAAATACTGGTAATATTCTGTGAGGTGTTGCTCATGATTGTTTATGAACCTTTGCTTGTGTCAGTATTTTTCTTTTTTTCCATGTGTTATATTTATCTTCGGTAAGATATCATTGTGAAGCATGGACCGAGTGATAAACTCCTTGTGGTCCGAGTTCTCGCTCGGGGGTTTGCAGAAAAGCCACATATTTCCCAGATTTATGGTATCTATCGTGGAATTTAGGCCAAAGAGTTGCATCCATAGTACCGAGCCAAAGAGTTTACAACTTGTGGTTTCTGTATTCGAAAAAAAAATAAAAATTTTATGATGGTCTCTTCTGAATTTCATCCCCAGTTTCAAGACATACAGTTTGTGTTTGACAGTAGCTTTCTTAGAATTCAAGATTTCAGTATTATTCTTGAATAATAACGTCATGTAATGAACACATGAAATTAATGTATTTTAAATATATTTTTATCACATACAAATGATTCCAAAATAGTCAGAGATAAATTGTTTGCCTCAAACAGCAATTTCAGCGCCTAGTGAGACCACAAAGAGCAAAGAAGAGGAAGCAGAGAAGGTGCAGAACATTACTTCTGGCTGCTGTGCATGTCCAAAGTCCAAAGAAGAAAAGGAAGCCGAAGCTAGAAAGCGGGAGATTGAGATTTATTTTGAGAATTATCTTCATGATCAAGTTTACTGTCAAAGGTCAGTACAAAGCTTCTGTTTTTACACATATCTTCTTCGTCTTAAAGTCTTTGCAGTGTGATATTGGTAGTCATGTCTATCCACAACCTTCTGTCTCATGTTCATATCTTAATCTTTCATAAACTGGAGATTTCTGTCAAAATGGAGGAAAGGTTCGAAGTTATTATTGCTTCCAACAGCACTTTGCTAATGCAGTTTCGCTTGTTTGATCTACTGAGTTGAGTGCTTGGTTGCAGCCCTGCCTTTCATTTGCACAGCTGCTTTGTCATTTTGTTCAGTATGGCCGGTTTACCTGTGAGCTGGTGAAATACCGTGTGTAAGAATTCTACATGTGTGTATAATAACCAACTTATCATGCCCGACTACTCCCATCAATGACAAACTGCATTTCTGGAGGCGATTGTTGGCTTTTGCCACCTCGAGCAACTAAAATACACATTTACTGCGTGCACATATTGCTGGATTGTTCCGGTCCTAGTTGCTTATTCACCAGTTTTTCATATGCAACAGTGAGGGACATTTCATTTGATTCGCACTGGCACAGGAACGGAGCAAGAATAGGGAAACCCGATTGCGGTGATGTTGAAACTTCGACTAACTAACATAAACTGGTTAGCCAGATTGGGCATAGACATTCAGTGTTTTTCGGAAGTGTTTATCAGAAGAAATGGACTCAGGAAATCAGTAACAACTGGCAGGATTGATGGAGAGGGAGTAAGAGGTAGGTAAAGAGATATGTACTTAGGGGGCTTAGCCATATAGATGGGGGTGAGACAAAAAACACTGACCTGATAAGAGAATTCTGGTGATCTAATGAGATGATGAAACAGGACAGACTACACTTTTCACTATGGCACATTCTGATCACCATATGTTACTTTCCCCTTCCCCACCCCCAAATGTAAAATGCCTGTGGTTTAAGAGTTGTGAATGCAGTCTTACAATCCAAACATACCAGAGTGTGAAGTCGCAAATGGTTGCCAACATCAGAGCACTTTGGAACACTAGCCGTCAACAAAAACTAGTTACCTCAAGCACTCTACAAATGGTGAAAGACATTGGTATGAAACATCTGAAAAATATTCCTGATGTTATGTATGGAGGCTCACCTTCCAAACAGTAACCCACCTTCCTCCTTCTACTTCTGTATTTTATATGACCGTTTTAATATACTTTTTAATTATTTATGTATGTATTCAGATATGATTGTCTTTTTTCCTATGTTTAAAGTATACTGTATTTGAGATGATAAATTACAAATTTTTAGTTTGTGGAACAGATTAATTTAGTTTTCATTAGAAAAATTTATCTTGATCTTTTACTCTTGGTTCCTTGCCTGTCAGGCAGATGCACTCCAACTTTGAAAGAAAAAAAAGAGTTGATACTAATATTCCTAGAATGCCTTTGCACAAGAAACTACAGGACCAGGGAAATAAAGGGTCATCAGAAATACACAGAGAAGAGGATTAGACACTGAGGTGAGCAGAATTGGAGCAAACCGGGTAAATTACACGATTACGAATACAAAGAACAGGATGACTTGACAAGAATTGGTTGAGGGCCTATGCTCCATTTACGGATAACAAGTGAACGAACACAAAAGGACATTGGTAGGCCATGTTCAAGTCTTTGAAGTTAGTAATCTAATAAGGACTTTCTTGTGTTTATTTTCCTAACCTAAAGCTAATGGTTTTTAATATGAGTAAATGTAGTAAAGATATTGGGCTGATCCCACGTCATAGGCTCACCAGATATAAAGCACTAGAGCTGTACCTGTCATTTTCTAGACCAGTTTGTAGTTACTGGGTGATATAGCTAACATTATGCTGACCGTCTTGACTTCCTATAGTATTGTTCTGGTACCCATTTCAGGCCTCGATTTGGTACCCTGGTCATTTGTGGCGGGGGAAAAAACATCGCCTGATATGCATTCAAACTAAATTTATGAACAATATTTGTTGGATGTTTTCTGAAGTCTCTGATCCAGAGTACAATTAACGTTTTCCAACTATTGGTGTCTAATAATTTCTTTATACATTATAGAGGAGTCCATGTAAACAACACACAGCTTTTGTCAATAAACATTGCACATAACATTTAGAGCTCAAGGCAAACAACTTAAACCACTTCGGCATTGAGAGCTCCTAGAAAATTAATTTTGTTGGTTGAGTTGGTTTGGGAACGACATCACAGAACTCTAGATATTCCCATAAGTGCTTCATCACTAGCCAGAGCTGGGTTGCAATACTAATAGTGCCATAGCAGTGTTCCTATGTCCAGTTTGCCTCTTCCTTTGAGTTTTGGATAGGGCCAAATCTCCTTTTTGCCATGATAATCTGCTCACTGTTCCCCTTTGTTCACTTGCATCCACGGGGTATTGACAGCATTTAACTGGTCATGCGTCAGGTCACCACCATGTAGTGCAGAACCATCCCATGTATCTGTGCTGTTGGTAAGAGATTGTATGATCTGCAATACTGCATAGCATATACTTTTGATAAAGCCATGTTGAATAAGTTTGTTGATACATTTATATTTGTTTGGCAGGTTTGATACTCTCCCAGATGATATTAACATTAATGACATCCCAGAATTTTCTGAAATAGTCACCCTTGACAGATCTGTTTCTGTTGTCGGCAAAAATACCACTAGCAAAAGAAATGTCACCGGCAGCAGAATAACCGCTGGGAGCAGAAATATCACTAACAGCACCAGTGATAACCTTTTAGTGCCTTTCACAACAAACACATCAGTGTCTAGTGAGAATGCCACTGATGGGGGTCCAACGCGGAGCAGCAATCTGACAGTGTTGATTCAGGAGGTTGTGGTTAATGACACAGATATTTACCTGCCAAATCTGGAGCACTTCCAGGAGTATAGCATTGAGGTTAGTCAAAGGGATGTTCTAAATGTGTTATATATGCCTCTCTAAATCTGCGCCCTTCCCCCCTTCCCTTTTGCTGTCTACTTCAGCTCCTTCCATGCCCTTTGTGTTATTCATCTCTCCCTTGTTAATTTGTTTTCTCCTGTACAACTCTTTCTCTACCGTCTCCATATTCATTGCTGTCTTCCTTCCGCCATCTGTTCTTCCTCTCCTGTCGTTATCATTAAGTGAAGTAGAGATTCTGATCCAGTTCACAGTAAACGATTGTATCCTGTGCTGTCTTGTCTACATCTCACATGCCCTCTGCATATTTTAAATCTCTTGTCTTGTGTTTGAGATCTGCCACTGTTCTTTGTTTTTTCTTTGTTGATTCAAAAAGAACGATTTTCTAAGCACGCTGTTAATAAGTCTTCTGTTTCAAGTGCCATCTTCTCCCTTACATCTTGATTCACTAGGATTTGTTTAGTTTGCTTAATGAGCTGCTTATTGCTGATTCTGTCGTACCATAATCATCCTTCCTTACAGATGTCATTTCGTGAATATTTGTAGTTTATTAAAATTTATATTCCTCTTGTGTCAGTTTTACAGCTGTAGTAATTTGATATGAAATATTCAGTTTCTTTCCAGATTTAACCTCTCGATTCCCTCTGATTTTATAATTCTCCAAAGCCTCTTTTACTTGAAACATTTTTTTCTTGTTATCCTCATCTGTTGCTTCAACCTAGTCTGAATTGCAAATTGTTTGAATAAATGGGATAAAAGTAAGTGGCTTCAAGCTGATATTAATACAGATGTGAAAATACTGTGAAATGACTGCATTAGAAAAAAAAAGTAAAGCAAGAATCAAATTCAGTTGGCTGTCTTTGAATGTGTTATTTTTTCATGTGTTACTGGACTGATGTTTAACCCTCTGAATAGATTAAATGTGAGAGACTTCTGGTCCAGTATGGCAGATATGCAGGCTGTTTTAGTTTGGGTAGTTTATTCGCTTCTAGCCACATTTTGCTGATGCCTTATCCCCCATGTGTGGACTGAAAGTATTTAGTTTTGTCGCCCAGCTACTGAGTTGATTACATGGCATGCTAATATCATTTGGAATTGTTTTGACTACCCAGTGTTATTTGTGATGTGAATGCAGATTCAGAAAGTGACGAGGGACCTGTGGCCATAGAACTCATGCGATAAACTGCGTGTGTAACTGCTGATTTGTTGTAACTGCTACTTCCATCACTGATGAACTGTAGTGGCAGAATGTTTTTCTTGTTACTTCTGATAGTTACCTTATGCTAAATTTAAACAGTCTTCCCACAAAAAGTAGGTCACGTTCCATTGATATTTTTCTTTAACTGGTCTTACCTGCTGGGGTTTACGGGTGTGCCACTCTGTTGTTTGATGTCTTTGTTGTCTTACATTTACATTTTTATCAAAGAAAAAGAATGCCTTTGACATAGGTTTCATCACTTTCTAAAGGGGTTGTGTGTTAGACCCAGTTTGTCAATGTTTTTTAGTGTTAAAGGCGCTGGAATGTTAAAATATAGAAAACACGATATCAGCTGCATTGGGGAAAACTCCGCCACCTTGTGTGAAGGTCGCGTAGCTCAAGGTCAACCCATCAGAAGTGAGCTAGGCTGAAGGTTGACAAATTAGAAGTGAGGTAGTGTGTAGCACTGTTTGAATGAGGGAACTATCTGTACTTTTACTGCATTTAATGCATGTGAATGTTGTTGGCTTTGCGGATACTTAAAATTTTTGTTTTAGAAGAGACAGGGATAGGTATTCTGTGTGGTTTTTGCATTGCTAAAGAGCTATTTGCTGCGAAGTTGGAACTGTGATTAACGAATTCACTGAAAACATCTGAAATCTATGTGTGTCTTTTACAGGTTCAAGCATGTCATGACACCAGCCCCGACATTAAAACAAAATTGTGTAGCAACAGGGCATTGACAGCAGGCCGTACAAAAGCCTCATGTAAGTTTCACTACAAGTAAAATGTTCGCTCGATAGAATGTTACTCAGGCTAGCTTATTAAACATCTTCAGAGTCTGTTTTATAAATTTTTCAGAATCTTGTTGCAATCTACTTCATCATTTAACTCCCCTAGTGTGTGAAGTGCTCT